AGGCCACAACTCCAGGGAAAGGAAAACCAAGAGAGTATAAAATGGTAATCCATCTAACAATTACTATTCTATAAATGGAACACTAAAGGACCGGAATCCTGGAGAATACCTCTCAAAACCACTGGAGTCGATGGGAGTTTGACTGTTAACTCTGTGGAGAGGCAAACCTCTACAAGTTCTGCTCACCATCAAGTTGACCTGTGGATGTTGAGTGGAACCCAAAGGGACAAAGACACTCACTAGATTTATTTCAACAGTTGCTTCTGGTCCCAGCCAGAAAGCAGAGGTGACTGAATACTTATTTAAACATTCACAATTTTTAAAAAACCCAAAAGGATGTGCTTGAGTTAGAAGATAGAAAGGCCTGTTATTTTACACTCAACTCCTTAGCTCAGCACTTGTTTTACATTTACACAACAGTGCAAACAAAATGGGTTTCAATGCTTTCCTGAAAGCCCAAGAAACATTATTGACGACCAAAAACTAAAATCACCTAAGAGTAAGATTTTTTTGGGGGGGAGGAGGGGCGAAGGAGTATTTTCTTCATAAATACAGTAATACAATTATATTTACTGTCTTTTACTTTCTAGACCTAAAATCACTAGCTCTTTTAAACGTTCCTATATGAATATATGAAAAAATAACCACAGGCACATTCGACATGGTATGGAGAACTATAGCAATTCCTCTGCTAATGCTCACCAGTCCTAATAGATGTTAAAATCCAAAGGCCCAAAAAAGTCTGTCCATACTAAAGGAGCAGTATTATACTACCACCATTGTAATAACCAGATAAACACCAGTCTCTTTGGTGGCTGCTAGTAATAGGATTCACTGGACGGATGTCTAGAGAGACTACTGCACCATATAATTTGAGCGATCTGCATGGGAGCATGCAGTGTTCTTGACAATTTTGGGGTGAATCCTGCAAACAGGCATGGATAGCTCATAGGAAAACCCACCAACTCATTTAATCCACAAATAGCTGTTAAAAAATCACTAGTAACACAGGACCAGATTTGAACAAATCGTCTAGCAATAAAAGGCTCCACCTCCTATTACTCAGTCCTTTGGAGTATCAAATCTCAAGGGAGTTGCCGATGGAAAGCATTTGTGGGACTGGACACTTTGTGAGCATTAAAAGGGGAAAGAAAAAGAGATGAAAAATGTACTCCTGTTCTGCTCTACCAGAGGAATATGTGGTTTTCCTTATAAAAGCTGCACCTCTGCTTCTAATACCCGAGTTTAAGACAAACTCTTAGTCTAAAGTTTGGTTTGATATTTAAGTTCATTGCAATTATTTTGAATTACAATCTTATTTCAGTAGAAAGTAGTCTACATAAGGAAAGGGACCAGGTGTGCAGTTTGACTTCTGTAAGTAGCTTCTGTTTCAAAAGAAAACGGAAAAATCTGTACAAAGACCAAAAGCTATATTACACATCTCCCGCAAAAAGAAAGCATACTTTTTTAGAGTCACATCAGGTCAGTTAGGGAAGGCTTAGTGGAAAGCACGTATCCCTGTTGGCTCCTAGTTCGTCAGCCCTGCAAGAGGATCTCAGATCCCCAGTCACACAAGAATAATACACCTTTTATGCCTTCTTTTTTTAAATGGCTGACTGTAATAAAATCTCATGACATCAATGCTAAAAAACCGGGAAGCAGGCAAAGTTTTGCATTTCAGGAGATCTTTCGCCTCCATTCTCAGGTGGAGACCATTGCTGTGCACCTTTTGTGTTTCAGTCATAAAGCTCAACCCTCTATTTCTTTTCCTCATTATAATAATTACAATGGAATTTTGTTATAAGGAATGAGTTGAGAACAACCAAGAAGTGCTGACTGTTCCAGTCTAATACTCAACATACATGGACCCAGGCAAACCAGATATACGTACATAATTGGTCCATGCATTTTAGTACCTACGCAGGAATGGGCATAGGATGTAACATTCCTTACCTGCCTGTGAGTAGCTCTCAAGAAGGTTGCTTTTCCAGATTTTGAAAGACTAACAAAAAGACTTCTGACACCAAATCTCTCTCACCACTATACTTTCAATCTTCCTAGCAATTCATGTATTAAACCCAATCCACAAAAGATACAATAGGGAACAATCTTATGACAGGAAGATGGATACAGTCACATGATGCTTCCAATGACTACACAGGAGGGAGAGAAATCATTTAGAATCATCCAGGGTAGGCATTACTTGATTTAGTGGGATACAAATAAGCAAAAAAGAACATTAGCTATTTTCAACAGAGAGAGCTATAAAGTTGTGAAGGGTACCTCTATGAGAAGAGGTAGAACACTTGCCTGGAAAAATATAATAGAATGAACTTTAAGGAAAAATTCTGCACTGGCCAAGAGGAAAGACCAGGACCTACATGGATGAAATGGGCCAACTCTTAAAGTACACCTCTGAATTATCCCAAATGTGAGTGTCCAGTTTGGGAGGTCGAGTCAGGCTGTTAGAGAAAGAGGTCAGAGGCAAAGTCAGGGTATTTGCCCTGGCGTCATCTCTTACCAACATGCATTGCCCTCTCTTAATTTCTATGGCTCTAAGACTTCTCAATGATCAAAATTAGCAGGTGGCAAACCCACTAGGACCAAGAGGATCTGCCTTTCAAGAGTAAAACATGATCCATTCAGATGAATGACTGCTTAAAGTAAAACATAATCCCACTTTGAGCTGATATTTAGGCGTTACAGTGTTAACTTCGGCCTTCCAAGGGAAGTAGTGGGGGCAAAAGATCTATCTGGTTTCAAGATTAAACTAGATGGGTTTATGAAGGGGATGGTTTGATGAGATAACATGATCTTGGTAACTAATTGACCATTCATTATCAGTGGGAAATAGGTCAATGGAGGGATGATAGGAGTTACTATAGAGAACTTTCTGGGTGTCTGGCTGATGAGTCTTGCCCACATGCTCAGGGTTTAGCTGATCGCCATATTTGGGGTCGGGAAGGAATTTTCCTCCAGGGTAGATTGGCAGAGGCCCTGGAGGTTTTTCGCCTTCCTCTGTAGCATGGGGTACAGATCACAGCTAGAGGATTCTCTGCATCTTGGGGTCTTCAAAGTATTTGAAGGCTTCAATATCTGAGATATAGGTGAGAGGATTATTCTAGGAGGGGTGGGTGAGATTTTGTGGCCTGCACTGTGCAGGGGGTCAGACTAGATGATCATAATGGTCCCTTCTGACCTTAAAGTCTATGAGTCTATAAAAAAAAATCAAGGAAGGTATCTGAGGACATATTTTGGGGGTGTTAAGACCAATTACTTTGGTCCTTTTAAAAGCCAATCATCCGGAGGCAAGAAAGCGTAATACTAACAGGTGACAGTGCTGCAGCCTCCAGACAGCCACTGCAATTTCAAACCTAATGTGCTAAGGTGCCATATGCTCTCTACTCATTGGGAGTTAAGGGGACCCGTCCCATTGTAGGAGCTTTAATTAAAAGCTCCTTCGCTCCATGGCAAGATTTGGCTACTATAATGCTGTACTGCAGTGGTGGGCAATCAGCAGCCTGTCGGCGGCGGGCTGGTGCAGCCTACTGAGGTGAAGGAGGGCCACGCATGAGGCCCACCCACCATTTGTGGTTGTCCATCCCTGCTGTAGTGGAACTTTGGGACCAGCTGAGATGCTTTCACAGCGCTGTCAGGGAAAGACATACAATTTAAGTAAACAAAGTGTTTTAAAAAACAATCTAACAACAGAAGGCTACGTCTACACTGCAGGCTTTTTGCGCAAGAACACTTGTTCTTGCGCAAAAACTTACAGCGCATCTACACTGCACGCACATTCTTGCGCAAGTACATTTACAGTAAAGCATCAGAACAGAGGGCTTCTTGTGCAAGAGTTATCTCCCCACGAGGAATAAGCCCTCTTGTGCAAGAAGGCAGCGTGGACGGGCAACAGGGGTTTCTTGCACAAGAAACCCTTATGGCTAAAATGGCCATCAGAGCTTTCTTGGACAAGAGAGCATCCATACTGCCATGGATGCTCTTGCACAATACCTTTTGCACAAGAACTCTTGCGCAAAACAGTTCTCGCACAAGAAGCCTGCAGTGTAGACGTAGCTGAAGTGTTTTCATACAATTCAAAAAATAGCTCAAGACAAATCTTTTTTAATGTGTCTGAACATACCCCAGCAGCATTTGCACACCAAGCACTGCAGCATTTGGGCTAGTTGCTAAGAAACAGAGTGAAACTGATGATGAACTAATGTGTAACTTCCTCCCTTACTTTAAAACTCAGGAATGCTGCTCTCTCCAATTAGAAGAAAGAGAGAGAGAGAGAGAGAGAGAGAGAGAGAGAGACAATCTGTTGTCTCGCGGAATGAGGGACATACAAATCAGAGAACTGGAATAGAGGGAAATATGCCAAAAATAATTCCCAATCAAGGTCTAATGCAACAGATCAAATTGCTAATAATCAAATACTACAGGGTTCCACACCTACACAGGTGGAAATTGAAAGTAATTCCACTAAAGGCAGTGGAGTTACGATGGTGAAAAAACATTATCGAGATCAGAATTAGGCCCGCAGTTTCTTCATATTATAACTTAAAACCTGAATGCAATATATTATTTATTATCTACTGTATAAATTACTCAAAATTATATATGCATAAAAGTACAGGGGATTCTCTGGCACTGCTGAAAATGACAAACACGATGATGACATCCATCTCTGGAGCTATTAAAATCAATGTGATAGTGAGAGTACAAAAACCAAAATAAGTTTGAGCACATTGTGAAAACTGAAATCCTTCCTGCCCTGGAATATGGGGTCTCCATGTTGACTTCTTTCTACAGAGGGCAATAGAGGAAAAAAAAGCTCCTTAGCTTATAAGTTTTACAAAGCTACTCAGAACACCTGTACTCTACAGCCTTTGGTGACATTCAGAACAGAGACACAATCTAGCTCTGACATGACATGGTCATTGTGCAGAGTCATTTTATCCATCTTGGCAGTGTTCAAAAGAAATTAATCAACCGCTGTGAAAGTAAGTACTTTAAAAAAAATACAAGGTTTAAAAAATACTGCAATTAAAAATAGAATTTAGTGCATTTAAGACCTTTGTTTTATCCAGACGTTACCAGATCCAGTATTAAAAACAAGCTTGGAGAGAAAGGGAGAGGAGGGAATGACTTTCAAAGAACAAGTATTTTATAATTTAAAACAAATTATAAATTAACCTGTCCACATTGTTGAGACATAATATACAAGAGTAAAGAGCTGAGTGTTCCTTTATTACTCAGGTACTACATTTTTTTTCCAATAAAATTGTCTTTTTAAAAAAAATTCTTGCTATCATGTCCCAGTTTTGATACAAGTTCAGCCTTTCAGATGAGGTATTCCACCATTTCTGCATCAGTGAGGTCCTGCCCCAAGCTGTGAACAGGAGGTTTTCTTTCCAGAGTGCTAGAGTGGAAAACTGGTCCATCTATCAAGAAGAAGAAACAAAACAGAAAAAATCAACTCCAATTGTCAACTACAGCTACAATGGGGATACAACTAGGACAAAGGAGATTCCTGCTTTTTCATAACTAGAAGATTTACCTGGCATTGCTTCAGTCCTTAACTCAAATAAGCTTTGTTTTTCTTCATTTAAATCATTGCTTTGGGATAGGGCAGGGGATGAGGGGTTCAATATGCGGGCTGCCACAGGGAGAGAGACAGCCTCAGCCCTCTCTCACCGCACTAGCTTGGGGCCAGGTGAGAAGCGCCTCTCCATGGCTACTGCAGTTCCAGCAGGCGCAGCCGGGGGAGGAGTGCATGGCCCCCAGCTAGTGGACAGACACACACACAAATAGACAAACTCTCTGAAATATATAGTTGATAACTGTCTCTTTCTCCATCCTGCCAGCCCAATGGGGTTATAGGTGTCCTGGTTCCCCTCTCTGGCCCCTTGTATGATGTAGATATTGGGATAGAGAGTACTCTTATTAAGTTTGCAGATGATACCAAACTGGGTGGGGTTGCGACTTCTTTGGAGGATAGGGACATAATTCAGAATGACCTTAGCAAGTTAGAGAAATGGTCAGAGGTAAACAGGATGAGGTTTAATAAGGAGAAATGCAAAGTGCTCCACTTAGGAAGGAACAATCAGTTCCATACATACAAGATGGGAAGCGACTGTCTAGGAAGGAGCATGGCGGAAAGGGATCTAGGGGTCATAGTGGACCACAAGTTGAATATGAGTCAACAGTGTGATGCTGTTGCAAAAAAAGCAAATATGATTCTAGGTTGTATTAACAGGTGTGTTGTAAGCAAAACTCGTGAAGTCATTCTGCCGCTCTACTCTGCGCTAGTTAGGCCTCAGCTGGAGTACTGTGTCCAGTTCTGGGCGCCACATTTCAAGAAAGATGTGGAGAAATTGGAAAGGGTACAGAGAAGAGCGACAAGAATGATTAAAGGTCTAGAGAAGCCTATGAAGCCAGGCTTCATGAACTGGGCTTGTTTAGTTTGGAAAAAAGAAGATTAAGGGGGGACATGATAGTGGTTTTCAAATATCTAAAAGGGTGTCACAAGGAGGAAGGCGAAAATTTGTTCCTCTTGGTTTCTGAGGACAGGACATGGAGTAATGGGCTTAAAGTGCAGCAGGGGAGGTTTAGATTGGACATTAGGAAAACATTCCTAACTGTCAGGGTGGTCAAATATTGGAATAAATTGCCAAGGGAGGTGGTGGAATCTCCCTCTCTGGAGATATTTAAGAACAGGTTAGATAGACATCTGTCAGGGATGGTGTAGGTGGAGCTTGGTCCTGCCTTGAGGGCGGGGGGCTGGACTCGATGACCTCTTGAGGTCCCTTCCAGTCCTATTATTCTATGATTCTAAGAGGAAGCTGTGCATCAAATTTGGTGGGCCTAGCTCTTACTGTTTAGGAGGAGTTCTTGACCAAACAGACTCACAAGTGGATAGACAGACAGAGATGCACATTTCTAAAATATTTAGTGAGATGATGACAGTTTGTAATCCTAGCCAAAAGATTGACAACAGCTCTTCAAATATAAAAATTCAGATTCTCACACTCACACTCCTCCATCTCTCTCTCTCTCTCTCTCTCTCATGAGAAGATATATAAATCTGCAGTGGCTGAGTTATAAAACCAGTATCGTCACACTGGCTTTACTCCAATATAATAAAATCAAAATGCGTCCCTTTGCCATTAACCTTTCACCAAAGGGTCCTCTGAGACCCAGCCTTTACTGTGATAATCATCTAACTCACATCACCCTACAAATGACTAAACCAGGGGTGGGCAATAATTTTGAATGGGAGGGGCGCACTCCAAGATTTTGGTAAGTGGCCAAGGGCCACACTTCTGTGGAGGGGGCGTGGGGTCTGGGACAGTGGGTGGGGTGTAGAAGAGAGTTTGAGTGAAGGAGGGGGTTATGATTTGGGTCAGGGGCTTAGGGTCCAGGAGGGTTAATGGGTGCAGGAGAGTATTCTGGCCGGGGGGGTGGGGAGGGATTGTCGGAGGAGATGCAGGGTCTGGGAGGGAGCTGTGACCTGGAGGAGGTGGGGAGAAGGGATACAGAGGTTTGGGTGGTGGCCTGGGGCAGGTAGTTGGGGGGAAAGCAGCGGGGCAGAGGCAGGCTCTGGCTGGGAGAGGCTTACCTAAGCGGCTCCCAGGCAGCAGCTCTGTAGGAACCTGCCTATGTGCTGGGTGGGCTGCTCCATGTGGCTCTACTCCAGCACAGGGAAGGGAAGGAGGGAGCGGGGGGGGGACGGAGTGAGTGAGGAGGCTTCATTCACTGTCCCGGCCTTCAGCAAAATTTCCCATCTCCTGTTGACAGAAAACTGGCCAATAGGAGCTTGGGGATTTTGTTAGCGGGCAGGGACACTGCACAAAGCTGTCTCCTCCCTGCCCAATCTGCAGAGCAATTACCCGCCTGCTGTTTAAACTGTGTGCAGCTGCTCTATAGTGAGGGTGCTGCCAAGGCGGCCACAGACCAAATCCAGTGGCTGGTCAGCACAGGCCAGATTCGGTCTGCAAGCTGCCTCCTGCCCACCCCTGAACTAAACCCAAAGACTTGACCACCATAAAAGGCTTTGTGTGACCAGCACCCTGGGAGAGAAATTACAGTGACCTCATACCAATGCCCCACTGGAAATCAGTTGGGTCTAGTTACCTGTTTTGTCTGAATTATAGGGCACACTGGTCGTAGGGAGTCGCCCTGGTACCAGGGCTGCAGTAGAAGAAGCAGCTTTATTTTGTTCACTTCCCCTGTCTGTCTGAGTGCTGCAGTCTCGGCTGCCTGTTTTGGAGTGTGCAGATAGCAGTGGGGTGGAGGGAAGGACTGGCGAGGGAGTTGAAGGAATTGATTCCGAGCGATATTCTGGACCCAGCAGAACACCTTTATGGACAGAAAGGGAAACAGATTTTAAAGCACTTACTTATAAGGAGCATCACAGCCTTAGCTCTGCCTAGTTCACAAATAGGATAGCATTGTTTAGCACTTCTCCATCTCCTTTCAACTGCTAATCTCAAAACATTTTATGATAGACTGCATTATGCCCATTTTACAGGTGGGTAAAGTGAGACACCAAGGTTGGGACAACCAAGCTCACACAGCATTATAAAGGTAATGCTGGAATATGTTTCATCTTCCAGGCCCCACCTCCAACCACTAGATAAAGCTGCTACCCCTCCATGGCTCACTTCTGTGTAGTCCTGCTCACCCTGAACATTAATTGAAAAAAAAATCCCATTTACTGCAATGGGAGTAGGTTTGAGCCCCAATCCATCTACAGAAAAAATAATAACCTGGACTAATTACAACACATTTTCTCCAAATGAAGGCTGCCACCATATCTCTTTGTAGCACACCTAGCACATCACACTTTCATTGCTCACATTCCCCCATGTGGTTTTTTCCACGCTCCCTTAATATATTAGCAGTGTTTTTCTTAGGACTGCCATGTTACCTAAACTGCCCTTCCAGCTTTTGTCCTCCCTTTTCTCTTCCAATATGGGTGTGCTGCTCAGTGTTGAAGAGTGGGACAGCAAGCCTGATCCAGCGTTAGAGATTGACATCAAGGACTTAGCTGGTCTCATTGACGATAGCTGATCTGTCTTACTGGTCTCTTTCCGGGAGCGCTGCTGGAGAACTTTAATCATGGCATCCTTTTCAATGATCTGAGCATGAAGAGTCTTTATCCTGAGAGGATAACAAAAAGTACAGTGTCTTCAGACTGATGCTTCAAAGTCTACTGTGCTCTTGCAGCTATCCTTTGCTTTCTAGGCATTCAGAGAATTAGTGCAGCTCTTTGTTAAAGAGAATGCAACTGAGCTAACTGACTTGAATAATGTGTGCTCACTGGCCCACCATGGCACTGGGCCAGATCATGCGTAAGACTTTCTACACTTGAGAGAACTTCACTGAGCTGCCCACCTCAGGCTATTGGAAACACCAACAACTGCACAGGCAGTTTCTGGGATTGGGGAAGCTGGACATTCCCCCTGCTCCTGACTATGTTCCTCACAGTGCCCCCTGCAGGAGAGGCTGGGACTGAGGTAGGCATGAAGCTGCTGAATCAGATCTGGTCAAGCTTTTATGCACCTGCTTCATATTAGCAGCCCTACTAAAGGCAAAGAATGCAACCCAGGGGTCCTGGCTACCAGTCGGTTTGGCTCAGACCTCAGCAGTCCCTTCCCCTTCCACAGGTGGGGCTAGAACCCAGGAGTCCTGGCTCCCAGCCAGCCCCCCTTCTAAAGGGTAGAATACCACCTCCGTGTGCAGCCAAATGTAGCAGCCCCTGCTGTTGCCAGGCAGATGTGGATTGAAGTCAGCGGCCGGCTGAGCCTTTATCTCTCTTGGGGTATGTCTACACTACCCCGCTAGTTCGAACTAGCGGGGTAGTGTAGACATACCCTGAGAGCTGTAGCCAGAAACCCAAGGGGTAAGGAAGAGCCAGGATTAATGCTCTTCAGAGAATCTGTACTGTGCCAAACACCAAAATAAACACCTTTGTGGAACAGCACTGTTAAGACAAATCCAGATTTATCTGAGCCTGGTGTTAGAGGCATGTGTCGTATAAAGGTGGTGAAGAGGAACAAGAAGAGCAGATAAATGTGGACAGAACATTAAAAAAAAACAGATTCAAGAGTCTGAGGGGAGCATTTTACTTATGAATCCAAACAATCATCAAAAGTGAAAGATCATGCAATTGTTTTGTTCAACCAAGTAAACAAAACCTGGTATCTCTCATATTTCATTGATATGAACGAGGCAACTCCCGACAGGATGATTCCCAGAAGCCTGCTCCAGCCATCAACTGAAAATTACAAATCTAAAGAAGCTGTCTGAGAACGAACTGCACTTTACCTGCCCTCCATGTCAAGGCACCGCCTATTGGCCAGCAGGATCTCCTCCTCTTCCTTCTGAATGCGAGCTTCCAAGGAGGTGTCGTAGCTAGCATTAGGCGAGAGGCTGATCACAGTTGTGTCCCTGAGAATGAGCAATATAGCAGATGAAGTGCCATATAATTCACTGTCCTCAGGTCTATTTAGCAAAGATAGCCACTTCTTTGAGTAAAGGCTTGTTCAAGGTCTCCATGGACCTCAAGCCAGGAAAATCCATCTGCTAGCACTAAAGAAATAATAGACATGCCTCAAGTCACTAAAAACAAGAGCTTATTCTACACATAATCCTCACCAGTACATCTAAAGCAGCGGTTCCCAACCTTTTCCAGATGGGGACCCATTTTGACAATTCAGGAAGACTTGGTGACCCAGGGCAATTCAAAAAATGTGTGAATGGCTTCTTAAGAGCCACCTGGGGAGACACCTGGTGACCCTTTCGAAATGTAATGGCGACCCATATTTGGGTCCCGACCCATAGGTTGGGAAACCCTGATCTAAAGGGATATTTTTAAAACCAGACAAATGCGTGTGTGTAGTCAAGAACAAAGATGTTGGGTAAACAGCACCCCAGAATGGAGGCTAGATATATTCTCTTTTAAACTAGAATATAGTGAATTTACAGGAGATGATTTTAGGTGTGGTCCTCTCTCTTACAGGCTAGTGCTCAAATATGTTGGGTACTGGTTGGATATGGAGCATTCTTTCACTTTAACTTCTATGCAACACACTTAGGGTTCCCTTACTGCAATCTTTGTATAGTCTACCAAACACACACCAAGCATTTAATGTTGCTATATGCTAACATTTCAGATAGATTTTTTTGCCACGTCCTAGGAAGACCAGCCTGCCATTTATGTTAAAAACATCACACCACCAAACCCTCTAGCTGATTTAAAAAAATCTCAGTCTATGGATATGGACACCAAAGAAGAAGTGGGCAATCAAACCCCTTTGGTGGCATTCTGAGTATCAGCCCAAGCGTTAGAGCAGGATGAGAAGTGAGGTGAAGTTGATACTATATAGCATCCTGTATTTTCAACATGATGCAGGCTAATAAAACCACTACAGTAATATTACATCCATGGTTTGCTTAGATTCCAATCACCATGTTATGCCATTCTGCCATCATGTGCGTCCTAACAATTAGAAGGCTCTAATTTATACAACATAAATTCATGCTCAAATACAGTTAAGAATGCAGCAGCCAGACAAAGAATGAAGCTACTAAATCATTATAATGTGCCAATTTTCTTTTCCACAGTTGGCAGGATTAAGTGGGGAGTGGCAAGCATACCTCTCACTTTGCCAAGCACAAACAGGGGATGCAGTGAACAGCCAAGTCCCAAAATAAGGAACTCAAAGAAACTATTCAGACAGGGAACTTTAAAATGGTGTCCCCTTGAAATGCGGGATATATAGGAGGAATAGAGGAAAATCTTAATTTGGAATGAACTTGCTGACTGTCAGATGCTAGTGCAGTAAAAGATCGGTCTCTTTAAAAACCATCAGTTAGAAGGAAACAGGAAACTGATTCTGGAAACCTTTCTTACTTGTTTATTTAAATACAACATTCATTAGCTTTATGTGTCCTCTCCCCATATGTGACAACCAACAGACCTCACTACTATTAGTGTGCACTAAAAATATAACATATCCCTTTAGGACACACATTAAAGAAGCCATTTAGAGAATCTCAGGCAAGCTGGAAAAAAGTGCATAAGCAGCAGCAATACCTTGAGGTAACATACTGCTTCTGCAGTGAGAGAAGATAACCCTTTAAATGCTAACACAGCAGATGCAACAACGCTCTTAGCTGGTTTTTGCCTATGATCCTGTAATAAGTTACAAACCTAGGCAAAAATACCAAAGTTGAAATATCTACACTTGAATCGGGTATACAAAATGGACTAAAATAAAGCCTTCTGCCAGAATCTAGGTACTTGTTAGCAATAAACTCAGATATAAGCACTTCCCCCCCTTGCACTCCATTAGCAGCATTTGCTCACTAACTGAAGCCTATTTACAGTAAACATTTCTGGATAGTCTTCTCGGAATCTAAGCTAGATACCAAATTTCAGACACATTTCCCTTCCCACTCCCACAAATGAGGCCATCTCTACACAACCAAAGGCTTTACGCGGAATTTCTGTGTATATGTCTCTGGTTAGCAGCCGTGTTGTGGACAATACTACAAAGTAATGTGCAAAAGCAGTCTGGAAAACAAGTGTGGCATTCAGGCTGAAAGATGTGAATCACCAAACTTCCCCCATCTCACATGACTGAAGCAAGGGCAGATTCTTATAAATCTTTTTCTGCTCTACCATCTATTTTTGAGTCAGGCAGCTTCTAGGAGCAGCTCAGCTGGATCCTTGCATGAAAACACAGTTCTTTCATGAGAGGGAACAGTCCCTTCAAAGTTTCTAAATGCTGGCAAGTAGGCAGCAAGCCCAGCGAAAGCAGACATGCTCCACCTCCAATCCAGGAATTTAGCTGATGACGTGAAGGCAAGCAAAAAAGTCATGGAAAAGAGAGACTACGGGTAACATTTGTCGGTAGGAAATATGACATTCTCCTGGAAAAATACCCTGCTATGAATAGTCTCATTTACCTCTGAGCAGCCACTGTAGCTGCTGCATCCAAAGCAAACTGTCTCATCACACTCTCCTCTAGGTACTTCTGTTCCCATTTAGTCATGTCAGCTTCCAGGGCAAGAATTCTCTCCTCCTTCTCTCGCAGGAGTTCCATAAGTGCTGTGGCGTTGTACTCCGAAGCGCCGGCAGTCTGAGATGTACCTTGACGCTTATTTTCAAAAGAGCAAAATGCATCAGAATTCATTTGGTAAAGTCTGTTTTCACAGAAGGAGGCCACATTAGTTATCAACTTAGAGTAATAATTGGGTAGGATTCTATGGCCTGTCTTCTGTAGGAGATTAGACCGAAAGATCAAAATGGCCCCCTCGAGCCTTAAAATCTATAAATCACCAGCTGGGGCTAATCAGCTGAGTTCCACTAAATCACTGAGGATATGCCAGTTAAAATATGACATAATACCCACACACCACCATCGCTATCTACCTGGAAAGCTGTATCACGTTACTCAAACGTGAGGCGTAAAGTCCATCTACACAGCCAAAATAACAGAGGCCCCAATTCCAATATCACTTCAGTTTTACATTAATGTAAGTAACACCGCTACCTTCAATGGAGTTACACCAAAATAAGACTGGAATCAGGCTAAAGTTTAACTATCATTGGTAACGTTGTTGTGCCTGACCTGACTAAGCGGTGTGGACAAGACCACATCCCGTCCTAACTAGGGATGTAAAGAAGCAAATAAATAGCTCATTATGTAGTCGATAGAATGTCTACTGATTACATGATTAGACGATAAGGTACAAAGCTGCTGCTCCTCTACAGTTTAAATGTAGTAAGAGTCAGGTGGGCAGGCAGCCCAGCTCCTACTACATTTAAACTGCAGAGATGCAAGGAAATAGCTCCTGCACCCACCACAAGTCTGGACTGAGCCAGGCTTGCTCAGTCCCAGCTTGCCTTTAATAGAGGCAGCAGCACAGGGGTGGGGCAGGTGGCACCACGGAGACAGTGCTATGGGGAACTGGTTCTAAGCTGGGTCCCCCCAGCACCGGCTCCTGCTTCCTACACTTCACACGGCCTCTGATACAGAGGCAGCAAGGGGGAGGGAGGGGATATGTGACCACTCTACTACTCGCATACATCCCTAATCCTAACTAGGTTAAACAAATGCTTTTGCGCCTGTATTGAGCAGATTTCCAACACAGCTCCAATCACAAGATACAGCATGTGGTATCATTCATGTACTATGAGAAGGAATATAATTTGTTAGATAAGCAAGCTTCATTTATAATGGAAAGATGGAAAGAGTCTGGCTCAATGACAAAAAGCCATTTGGGGCAAGAGAACTAGAAGTAGGAAAAGACAATGTATGAGACCCCTTGTAATTTTGCAAAATTAATCCCAAGTATTAGAAAAAGGCTGAGATTAGACACCATCATATACAAACTGCAGACAGGTTTGGGTTTTTTTACATTCACATTAGTTAACATGTGTTAATATGGTTTCAAACAGGACTAAAATTTCAAATTCAACTCATACTATCCCGAGAAAAAAAAAATTCCTTTCTTTCCAGAGTAAAAATAGACTAGATATAAATTGTTAGAGCACACTGTACATTAGTGGTTATAAATTTCATCAACAGCATTTCTGTCTTCAAGCTTAATGTTTGAGGTTGTGTGAACAGATGAGACCACTCAACAAATCTTAGTGGGGTGTCTTAAAATCCTACTACAAATTAAAAGGCACACCAGGAATCATTAAGAGCCCAGAACAATTACTAGACATATGTCTGCCGCCTCCCAGATGAGGAATCTGTTATTATTTTTAATTTAAAACCTTAAGGATAGAATTTAAAGATTTACTTAAATTGAATGAAACCAATAGCAGCCCAGCAACCTCAATGGCCACATTTTGCAAAAGAATGTTTTTACTATAGGGCTGTCTACACACTGGCATGAATTTCCGGAAATGCTTAAAACGGAATACTATTCCGTTTTCAGTTTTTCCGGAAAAGGAGCGTCTACATTGGCAGGCTGCTTTTCCGGAAAAGCGTCTGTGGCCAATGTAGACACGCTTTTCCAGAAAAGAGCCCCAATCACCATTTTCGCGATCGGGGCTTTTTTCCGGAAAAGACTACTGGGCTGTCTACACTGGCCCTTTTCCGGAACAGTGTTCCGGAATAAGGACTTATGCCCGAGCGGGAGCAGAATAGTTTTTCTGGAATAGCGGCTGATTTTGTACAGTAGAGCATCGTTGCTTTTCCGGAAATTCAAAGGCCAGTGTAGACAGCTCGCAGCTTATTCCGGAAAAGCGGCTGATTTTCCGGAATAAGTGGCCCAGTGTAGACACAGTCTAGCTGTATAGAAAAGAGGGAACAGATCGTGCTTTGCTGCATGTTTTGTGAATGGTTAGACAGGAACACCTTACAAGAGATATATTTCAATGAAAAACTGCTCAGTGCATTGAGTGGTTACCTGCTGCATCCGGAGGGACTCCAGTTCTCTCTCCAGGCGGGTTCGGAGGCGGTGCTCCAATTGTTCTCGTTTCTCGCAGGCTGCCTGCAGCTGAACCAATGCCTGCTGCATCTTCTCCACCTTCTCAACATAAACCTGCTTCTTTTTCAGCTGAAATGAGAGAGGACAATGATCATAACTTTACTTCGCACCTGCTCCCTGTTCTTCTTTCCTTTTCTCTCACTCTCAGTTACAGTTAGGGCCTACTTAGGTAACCACATGCCCTCCCCACCTACTGATTTAGCATCTGAACATTCACAAGTATTAATGAATGTATTTTCACAATCTCCCCATAAGACAGGATTATCAGATGGGGATCTGAGGCACAGAGAGGTTAAGTGACTTGCCCAAAGTTATACAGGCCACATGTGTCAGAACCAGGAATTACAGCCAGTCAAAAACCGCAGAAAGGTTTTCAATGAAATTTTGAGAATGTGAGTTTCTGACCAACACTACAAAGAATTACACCTGGAACTCCTGTGCCCCCGTCAAGGTCATAACCATCAAGCCGTGAAGAGGACCAAATCAAATTCTAACCATGTTAAAGACCTGTCTGTGTTCCATCCACACTTCAGACTGAACAGTGCTAAGTCTATGTGCCTCTAAGCATTGTTCCTGAGGTCAGAGTGACCTCGGAAGTTTCACTTTATTCTTGTGTCTCACTGCCTCCGAAGACTTATGCTAGCCACACTCCATTAACCTGACCTATCAAAGCTAGCAGGCTAAGACACCAATTTATGAAACATGAGGGCCTCAGCAGGGTTAAAACAGTTCAGATGTGTGTGATTTTTGTAGCTAGGTTATAAACTTAATTTGGTGCAAGCAAGTGCAATCTGCTTTATCTGGATCATGGTACTACCAGATCACAGCAGACTGTCTCTCCAAAATGACAGCATACATAGTAATGAGATATTAAAGACTACTTTGGGGAATCACACTATGGTCCCATTTACGGTATGAAATCTATCATATTAAATACTGTATTAGAGTTCATTCAAGAGCCATGCTATATATTATAATATGACTTGGACTTACCCATATGGTCAGGCCCAAACCATGTGTTATCTATGCTAAGGAACCACAACCCAATTCTGTTTGAAGTATTTAGATACAGTGGATACTGCAGTCTAAGTGAGGCCTACAACACAGCTATTAAGATGTTTGCCCGAGGAGAAAAATACAAACACAACTACAGGTTGAACCTCTCTAGTATGGTACCATTGGGACTTGACTTGACCAGTGCCGAACCAGAGAATTTGCCAAACTACAGGAGATCAATATTGTCTAGCAACATTACCAACACTTCCACTGTTTACTGGGCTATCAGCAGCTATTTAGGAGTAAATTAGAGCTAAATAGCAGCACAAAACACAGAGCCAGGACTGGTGGCTGGAAACAAACTTTATGGGACCGCTCAACCTTAATTGCGTATTTTTAGCTGGGTTTGGGCTTTAAGTGCAGAGCTGGGCCCTAAGTTATGACAACCCACTCTACTCCCACGGGAATTCTGCATCTCTGTGGCGCAACAGAAAAATCCCGGCCCCCCAATTCCGTTTGTTTCCATGAAGAAAATGGTGGTTTCTGTAAGGAAGCAAAGAGAAGTTGCACCAGTGCCCTAACCATATTCACCTTGACTCCCCTGCAAAGTTCCATCCCTCTGTCCCCCGCACCCAAACCCTGCACCAAGCCTCTGTGCATCCAAATTCCCCCCCATGCACCTAGATTGCACTACACAGAACCCTGGTACTCTCAAGGGAATTCTGTGCCCCAAAAAATTAAAATTCTGCAAAATTTCTGCATATTTTATTTGTCAAAATAACACAATAACAGGAGTAACACCACAATACTGGCTGAAAAAGGCAGCACTCCCCAGGAGAGCCAGAGCCCCATTTGCAGGGAACAATGCTGCAAAATTTAGATTTGCTTTGTTTCGTCAGGTCATCCCTCAAAAAACTGTCATATGCTCCTCAATCCCTCTGCATCAAGCCAACTACAGAATGTACTTAATTGGCAATGAAAGAGATGACAGGGCTCAAGCAATTTTTTTAGTTTCATAACTGATGCAGCAAGCCCATGGGTGCCTGGGCTAGGAACCGCCAAACCTAGTGGATCAGCCCTGGCAAAAATTAAGTACTGACTATTGAGAACCTAGTATGAGTAGAACAATAGCTAAGCTCCAAGCAGAAGCATCTTATTTTTCACAAGTCCCAAGCCTGGTCTCATTTATTCCCAAACTCAGCAGATGTCTAATCTCACCACATGACATGCTGGTGCCCTAGAGGATTTTCAAGAGACAGATATTTTATTATAAAGGCAAGATAAACAGTGAGCAAGCCAACCAAAGATTTCCCAGACAGGGAAGATATAGTGAGTTGGTATTTTTACCTTTTGATTGCTCAAGATTTCATATTTATTCATTGGATCATGCAGGAGATGCAAGAACATTTTAATATATTTTTACATTAAAGTCTTTCTATGAAAGATATTAATTTTTAAAAATGATTATAGGAAGATATTCATCCAAAGATTTCAAAGTGCGCAACAAACATTAAACTAACATTTTTAATTCCCTAGTGAAGTGGGTAGTACTGTGCCCATTTTACAGTTCAGTTCAAGGAGGCTCAGAGTAGTAAAGTGACTGCCCTAGCTGCAGTGAATCAGCAGTAGAACCAAAAATAGACCCTACGAGTTTCTGGTTCCTAGACTCTTGCTTTTCCAGAGGGTTCAAAATTCCTGTAAAAATGCACTATGATAAAGTGCTTGGGAAAATGTAAAAAGACTAATTCAGGCATCAAGCTCCCAGGAAAATTAGTAATTACTGGGATCTTTCTAATTCTCTTATGCATAAAATAAACTAAGAATGTTGGGGCTTTCAGTAGTACCCAATGAATTATTATTTTTCCAAAATGTTGTAAAGCACAATTAAAAAAAAAAGCAGCTTCACCTGCTAAAAGAAAAAAAAACATGTGGTAGTTTTATAATTAAATAAATGCAAGAAGGTGTGTGGATTAAGTTTTTGGCCGACAGTCAACAAATACCAAGAGTCCAGCCAAAAAAAAAAAAAAAAGAATTAGGCTGCAGAAATCCAACAAACATTCACTTTGAAAACGCTTCCAACAGCTGAACCTGCAGGTGAAATGTTGTAATACAGGTGATTACCTAATGTATTAGCACTGCCCGCACACGTTTAGCTAATGTACCAAACCTAAAGCACAGGCATGGCTTGTTCAGTAGCTTTTTGTAAAGTCAGATTTCTTCTCCTCTTATAAAACCCACTGAGTTATCCTTTCTATGTCAAGCAGCATTAAACACACAAAAATAAGTTGAAAAAACTCTCGTGTAGAGACTGAAGACAAACACTTTAAATCAGCTTTGTTCAACTAAATTAAAAGATGTGGGTAAACGTTAACATCACTTAAGTATGTCTCCACTAAAAGTGAAGGTGTGATTGCAGCACGGGTAGGCAAACCCACTAGCTTTATTTCCACAAGCACAGGCAACAATAACACACAGATGTGGCAGCACTAGTCAGCAGTAGCTAGCAATTCCATTATAGAATCCAGAAACGTAGGGCTCGAAGGGACCGTGAGAAGTCATCAGGTCCAGCTCCCTGCACTGAAGCAGGCCTAAGTCAACCTGGACCATCCCTGATGGGAGTTTGTCCAACCTGTTCTTAAAACCTTCAATAAGAGATTCCCCAACCTTCCTTGGAAGTCTGTTCCTGAGTTTCAATACCCTTCAAGTTGGAAACTCTCTCCTAAAATGTAGACGGAGCTTGGTCCTGCCTTGAGGGCGGGGGGCTGGACTCGATGACCTCTCGAGGTCCCTTCCAGTCCTATTATTCTATGATTCTATGAAAATCTAAACTAAAATTTCCCTTGCTGAAAGTTAAGCCCACTACTTCTTGTCCTAAATTCAATTGAACACAGTCCTCTTTATAATAGCCCTTAACATATTTGAAGACTGTTATCAGGTCCTCTCCTCAGTGGTCTTAAGACTTTTTTTAACATTTCCTCATAGTCATGTTTTCTAAAACTTCTGTTGCTCTCCTGTGGTCTCACTCAAATTTGTCCACATCTGTCCTAAAGAGTGGCACCCGCAATTAAGACACACAACTCTAG